CTAATAAAGACCTTACGCTAGTGTATTGCTCACTTCAATCTAGAACTGTAATGATCTTTTGAGCAGTTGAAATTGTTAATGACTGCTTCTCACAAGTCATATTTTCTGTGTGGTTTTGTTAGTTCCTTTGTTTGCTGGAAGGTACAAATTTGTTCAAGTTATTGGACAAGGACAATCTTCAATCCTGGTTGCTGCAGAAGTGAGAAAATAGTAAACAGCTTCATCCTTGTTTACTGTTCAACCTGTACATGTACATGTGTGGTATGCAATACAATATGAAAAAAACATCCACATTTGCTATTTGCTGAAAATTGTAATCATCAGGTACTGTGCATACGTTAAGTGCTCTGAGTTTTATCATAATAAATATTCTTTCTCTTTTTCAATTTGCAATGCTTCATGAACAAAACAGGTATTTTAGCCTCCTTTTGAAGCCTACAGCTTCATCCTTGTTTGCTGTTCAACCTGTAATATGCAATACAATATGAACTTTACACACTTGCCTAAAGGCGCATGTGTATACAAGAAGAGACAAGTGACTCGTAGGATATTCTATGATATACCGTGTACCACTCAAAATCAAATGTGCATGTTTAATTTATAACTACAGTAGTATGTACATGTTTCTTCATAATTATTGTTATGAGAGCCAAATACAGGTATGGTACTGCTCAAAAGTTAGTTACCACCTCACATCACATTTTGCAAGATGCATCTTGTTTGTTGCAAGACATGTCTTGTTTCTCTCAAGATGTGTCTCGTCTCTCTCAAGAATCCCAAAATCATTTGTTATGGAACACAGTACTCACAATTTAAGCCTAACATGCATGTCAAAGACAACTGCTCAATGTACACATAACCAAATGTTTGATCAAATGTGGGATACTGTATGTGACTCACTAGTAATCTCTTGTTCTATTCATGTCGAACAAACATGTCAAGTGTAATGTGAGAACTAGAAGTTTAATGGCTTGAATAGTTTTCTACATGATAAATTAATTTTAATTCCACCTAAATGCATGCCTACACCACACATGCATGCATTCGTGATTTTGGTCAGTTGCCCATGAAAGCAGTCGAGAATAAAATAGTGTCAAGGGCAAGCAACTTTATTTAGCATTTAACATGTGCATACTGAAAATCTGCTCAAAATGGATTAGTTTTCGCTGTCAATTTTCACTTTTTTAACTGCAGGAGGCAGATTGCATTCAGCAGCTGAATAAGGCAGATATCCTTTGTGTCTCCAGAACTGCCCAGTTGTAAATGTAAGTCACAGATGTACAGTATTTTTGTTTCAAAATGTTTCTTTTAAGTGCAGAGGACACAACAATGACAGGGAACAGAGTGTTTTACTCTGGAGTAGATGACATCAAATTGACAGCTTTGCTGGAAAAGGAATCCAAGACAAAGGTGACGACTATGAAAGTGAATTAATCTCAGCCTCACTATCAAGGTTCGTGTCTTCTCAATCGCATTATCTGAGAGAATGTTGAGAGATGTGTTTTTTTCTCCTTTTTTATGGTAGTGTGCATTGATATAGTGACTGTACTGTATTAATTGTAAAAAAAATTGTAATTATTAATTAAAAACACTTTTCACTGACTGACAAACACCAAATAATATTATTTTGGACTTTCATCAGAATGTTTTCTGCTTTGAGAGTCGCTATTGTTTGGTGTTTGAGTTGCTACGTCCAAGACCTCTCCATCAATACTTTGAGGTAAGTTTCAGGCCTTTTTGTTTCAGGTACAGTACAGTATTAACAGATCATGTTGCATCTTCATAGCATAATTATATTATTGGAACATTGAGTGATCAAGACTTTTCCAGAGTTTTAATTTGCAGAAATGTCAGTTTGAAAGTGAGGTAAGAAATTTGAGATTGTATAATTTAGAAAAAAATTATATTTAATTAATCGACATGTAAACACAATAAAATAGATTTCAATTTTCTTAAAAATATGACATATTCATGGGAAATGCACTGATTGTGGGAAAATGAGGAATTATATTTTTTTCAGACTTGCAGTACACCTTCCCTCTGTGTTCATAGGAGTTGCAATAAATATAATAAAATTAATCATCTGAGTGTACATTACACGTCCGTGATAATCATGCAATTACAGTATGTTATTCATATTTCTGTAGGCTTGGTCATCTCATTTCTAACTCAGAAATGTAATTACAACTTACACTTGCTCCAACTCATAATGAAAACTCTTTCTGTGCTATTTGCTTTGAGCTTATCATGACAGCAAAGAAAGTCATCTCCAGTAACCCTGAGGGCTTAAGTGGTTTTGCTATTGGGTCAGTGAATTCTGTCCTTCTCACTTGTCATGGGAAAGTTTTTTGACGGAAATTCAAATTACAGATTGAAGTAATGTAAGAGATGAAATGACACAATACTTCTCAACTTGTCATAAACATGATAAAGTGTTAATTAAAATAAATTATTTTTACCAATAGGAGGCAAATTTGAAAGTGATCAGAAAAATAATGTTACAAGTGAGTATTATTTTACACTGTGAAGTGATAAACAGCAGTAAGATTAAGAATACTTTTATTTTAATTACCCCCCTCCCCGATATAGGAGAAAGAAAAGACTGTACAGACCTTCACTCTGTAGAATGTTTTTGGCATTCCTTAAATACCTCCTCCTTTTGAGAACCTTTGGATCTACTACTGATTACAAGTTGATTATCACTTTTATTGTATAAACAGTAATGAAATACCAGGTGAGCTTGCTTTAGCTTCACACGTGAAATAACATGTATGTTAATTACTATGTTATCTTCTCACGTGAAAAATCATATTTGCTTAATGCTGCAGTACATATTAAATCACCCCTTTCACAGCAAAAGTGAAACATTTGGTTTCGTATTTCGTTGGTCTTTAGACAATAAATACAACAGCATAATGCCGTTGAAAAATATTTCAATCATTTGCTGTGCTCACTCGTGAAATATTTTTCAGCATTCAAAGATGTGAAATCTCTTATCTCTGTGCTGCCATGGTATTATATTATTATTAATAGTCTAATACCAACATGCATATTATGTGTTGTGCACATGTAGTTTTACATCTCAATAAGAAGATCCTCACGCATTTTAACACTACTGTCTCTATGTGCATGTCGTATTACAGCTTTTACAAGCCCTTGGATTCTAAAAAGGTGAATTATGGAGGCTTTGAACATAGACAATACTGACAACTGCTCAAGATGGCAAGTGCAAGCTAATGTTCTCATTGGCCACATGTACAACTGAATGACAATACACTTGCGGTTGTCAATGGACCTTTTTGGCAATACAGCGGCCGTTTTGAATTCTATTGTTTCAAATAGCT